CTTCTACCACTAGCCACAGCCAAAGCCAATATCACTAGCTATCTTGTCTGCACTGAGTAGACAACATTTTTAAATTCAAATTGTGAAATAGGACAAAAGATCAAATATGCACTTCACGCATAGAATAACATACATAATATCTCCCAAGGGCCCAAGTCAAAAAACTTAATAATAATGCAATTAACTATTGAAAACTGCTTAATATTATGATTAAGCATTTTTCAATAATAACAAGTTTTATGAATTTTCCAATTTTCTAGATTTTACAGGAATTCTTTTGTAACTTTATGACACCAGGTAAGCTAACTGATGAATATATACTCATATTGACCATTCTTGAGAAATATTTTTATCTTCATTCTAAGACGTAGTATCACTTTAAGGAGAAATGTTTGACTCTGTATTTTGTCATTTTGTCAATTGTTGGACTACATCTTCACTAAGCTTATTTCAAGCTATTTATTAAGTTACTGAACACTCTTATACAGGCAACTGATTCTGGTCGAAGGAATGAAATTTAATTATTACAACAAATACCTTCAACCTGTAATATGATATATAGGCTAAGTCTGGTACTTTTTATATAGATTTTTAGTACACTAAGACATTGATCAGTAGACTAATTTACTGCAATATGTATTTGTAGGTCAACACTTGCACTTAGCAGAGCATTACAAGTCAAATTTATACATTGATAGTAGACTAGATATTGATACTATTAATTCTTGCATGGCTAAAACCTTTCATAGTCAGATTGTAATGAAATTTCATTTTTTAGGTAGAGAAATTTTAAATACCAGTTTCTAATTCTGCATTGAAACTTTGATTTTATCTTTCAATCCTGTCATTGATTTTAAATGACTTTATTGTAATTCTCTGGATGTGTTTGAAGTATGAAGACTAGTTTGAATATTTGTTGAATATAAATAAGTTTCACACGACGTAATACTTGAAAATGAGTGTTGAAACAACACCACACAAAGAGAAACCTCATGTTACTCTATTGAGAAAAGGATCAAACAGTAGAATGGCATTGAAAGAAAAAATTGTACAGATCTATGAAGCATTCTTTCAGGTAATTATTCATTGCTAAAAAAAAAAGACAAAAAATCTACTAGAAAGACCTTATGATTGAACCACTTCAGTTTGTCATGTGAATTTGGTGTCCACAAAAACTTGATTGTATTGATTGCTATTTATGACGTTCAGAATGTTGAATTTTAAAACTGCTCTAAAAAATCTATCTATTGGTTTTCATGTGCACACTAACGAATGAAATTCAAAAAATAAAAGATAAGATGTAGGCCTACCTAAGGACTTAATTATCCTCATCTACTTATAGTCCTCATGAATAAATACTTCTTGCAACAAGACCCATTGATGTGTTTATGTTGAATAGAACATATTAAAACTGTATATTTCAGGGTGAGGACCCTTCAAGAGGTAATGCTAATTTTTGGGATGAAATGTTTCTACTAAAAGTAAGTTGTTTATGTATGGCATGATTTATTTATCAGAAATTGTATCATCTATAATTGTGATGAATGGCATTTCATAGCCATATTAAGATATTGGCTGTTTTCATTTTAAGAAAGGAAGTGTTTGAAATATCTGTTATATCTTGGATGTGTCTACCCAACATAATACCCGCATAAAGTTTTAGTTCTCATGATACAAGAAAAAAATTTTACAGGCTTGTAACGCTAATCAATAAAAACAGTAGGCAGTGATATTTGTCCTGCTAGATTTCATTTTATTGTATAAAGAATGGCATTTTCTGAGTACATTAGTCCAGTAACGAGTGAAAAAGTAGTGAATCAAATCTATGCTCAAATTACTACAAATGGTGCCAAAATGTAATACTCTTATAATGTACTAATTGTTTAATTTGTAGGTAAACACAGGTTTTATAGAGAATGAGATAGATAAGTTGAGTGGAGAAGGTCTAGTCAATTTAAAGGTAATAATTGATTTTTCAAAATATTTTCCATTTAGATTTAATTCCTGATGGAATAAAGAATCTCAAATTTATAATTTAATTCTGTGTGCTAAGTCAGCCATTTACTATTTGACTTGAGCTCATTTAAGGCTGCCAAAATGTTTCGCATACACATTACTCTCCAGGAAAGCCAGTTTTGGAAATGTCGATACAGTACACGTCTGAATAGAAATTTTGTAGTTATTTTACAATTATAATTTGTATGGAATATAGAATGTTTTCATTTTTTTTTTGAAGGAAAATTTTAATCTGTTATTCTATAAAGCTGTTGAAAATTTGAGATATGATAATCATATAAGAACTGTTAATGCCCTGCAGGTAAATATATATTTCTATGTAAGTTCATGTAGACAGCAAAACTGTTGCTTCAATTTTAGACAAGTCCATACCATTCTTCCTTAGTCTAAATCTGTTGAAGAATGCTTTTTAAAAAGTTAAATCAAAATGAATGAAATTCAAGAAACAAGAACAGGAGTTTTACTCTCTATTTACATCATGCAAAAACCAAACTTGAATTTATACAATTCATGAAAATTAATTTATTATGGTTAGGAAGGGTTAATACTTGTTTTATGAAGCTAGTTTTCACTCTCCTTTATAGTTTCTTTTAAAGATATATTGATTTTCTACTTCAGACATTATGTGCCTTAATAAGAGGTATATTTAAAAAGAGTTGTGGTAGCTATGGATTTGATACCATAAACCTGTTGGTTGGATTTGACGCAGCAGATTCTGTTATGCAGGTAATGAGTTTTTTCGTGCATGTAATGAGGTATAGTCATCCAAATATCTGTTTTTTACCCGAACTCTATTTCATCATGTGTATCACTTCTCACAATGAAAATATGCATTTTGAAATTGAACTGTCAGACTGTTATTTATAACCTTGTTAAATATGAGTGTTTCACAAAGAAGTAATTGTACTAAATATCTATCTGTCTGTCTTTAAGAATTAAATAACTATTAAATATTTGTGTTAAAAAATTGATTATTTGTGTTTCAGAATTAAATAACTGTAAAAATATCTGAATTAAATAACTCCTAAATATCTGTGTTAAAGAATTGATAATTTGTGTTTCAGAATTAAATAACTGTAATAAATATCTGAATTAAATAACTCCTAAATATCTGTGTTAAAGAATTGATAATTTGTGTTTCAGAATTAAATAACTGTAATAAATATCTGAATTAAATAACTCCTAAATATCTGTGTTAAAGAATTGATTATTTGTGTTTCAGAATTAAATAACTGTAATAAATATCTGAATTAAATAACTCCTAAATATCTGTGTTAAAGAATTGATAATTTGTGTTTCAGAATTAAATAACTGTAATAAATATCTGAATTAAATAACTCCTAAATATCTGTGTTAAAGAATTGATAATTTGTGTTTCAGAATTAAATAACTGTAATAAATATCTGAATTAAATAACTCCTAAATATCTGTGTTAAAGAATTGATAATTTGTGTTTCAGAATTAAATAACTGTAATAAATATCTGAATTAAATAACTCCTAAATATCTGTGTTATAGAGTTGATAATTTGTGTTTCAGAATTAAAAAACTATTAAATATATGTGTTAAAGAATTGATAATTTGTGTTTCAGAATTAAATAACTGTAATAAATATCTGAATTAAATAACTCCCAAATATCTGTGTTAAAGAGTTGATAATTTGTGTTTCAGAATTAAATAACTGTAATAAATATCTGAATTAAATAACTCCTAAATATCTGTGTTAAAGAATTGATAATTTGTGTTTCAGAATTAA